ATTTTTCCATGTCATATACAGTAGAAGGCGAAAAAAAGATAAGTAGTACACAGGTAGTGCGTAGGTAGTAATTTTACTTCGTTACTCTTCACTGCAATATGCCCAGGAAGTACTGTTGATACCGCCCAGTCACATGTTCCATGTAACAAGCGCACATGCACTCTAGAGGCTCTCAAAGGACTTGAGGATGCTTCTCTTGGCTGTCTTTACTCTCCAAGTTCATCTCTACTGCTGCTCTCTGCTTATAGAACTCCGTTGAGGAGGCTCTAAGCTCGATTCACTGTTGAGCTACTGTCCTGCGGCTGACCAAGTGCACTACTGCCACTGATCGGTTTGCACATGCGCAACGAAGGACCAGCGAACTACAGTTTAGAGAAAAAAAAGCTAAGTAACTGCAGCGTCACTACTCTTGCACCGCGCAGTAAAGTACCTTCCACTGCGTAGGATTGACCCTTGTGCTGTGCTTGTATTGCACATGCGCAGAGTAGCTGGTGGGCAGGGTAGTCCTTGCCCACTGCACAGCTACCCTGCACAGCTACTATATACTACTCTTCCAATGCTACTCTACCGTCTACTACTTATACTAAACGGCACTTACTAGCGCTTGTACTCTACTGGTTTCAAAGAATATGGGTCTAAACAGTAGCCAGATATCAGTAAGTAAAGGTTTTATTACTAAGTGTAAGGTTCTTCTTATGTAGGAACGGTGATTCTACTGGGCCGTAGCGACAGACTATGACTGTCACAGTGCAATGGTGATCAGTTATTACGAAGTCTAGGAGTTACAATGCATGTTTGTAGTCATTTCTTTTTCTGACTTTTATTTTTGTTCTGAATTGTAAAAAATAATGATATTTTATGTACATGTAAAGCTTATATTAACCCCGTACTTACTACCCCTTTCAAATTGCAAAATTGCGCGCATTTATCTGGTGGACTAGTGACAATGGTGTACAGCACTTACAATCAACAGAGGATTTCACATTCCTTTTGTAAGTTTTTGAGTAAGTATTCACCACTAATTTTACTGTAGCACTGGATGTCAAAGTCTCAGGTGTGAGCAAACTGATTAAGAAATACACTGATTAAGAAATACATGGAAACTGGTTCAATTACTCAAAGGCAAGGTTTGTCAGTATTAATTCCACTACACTTCTCATTATTTTCACAATATAGGATCTGGAAGACCTTCAAAAGTAACCAGAGAAGTTTTAAAGATAGTATAGGACCAAATGCAAGCTGATGATGAAAGCACTGCTACTCAACTTCAGTAGC